AGCTTCTGCTTGAAGAGAACAAAAGCGAACACCAGGTTGAGGTTACATTACACAGACACGAAGTTGCAGTGGCTCCTTGTGGTTTCTCTCTCTCCCAACCTCCTTCTGCCCCCCCAGATCACCTGCCCTGAGAAGGCAGGCTGCTGCGGTCCCCAGGGCCAGCCTGCAGCACAGAAGGTCTCCTGGGTCTAGGAAACCCAGGAGGGGGACAGCTGGTTCTGGATGGCATTTGGACGGTGGCCCCAGGCAGACGTCCTGGCCGCTCTGTCAGACTCAGCTGATAGCAAAGGGGCTCAGGTGGCCAAGTGCTCCATGCCCTAACAGTTGGCTGCGACTTTTCGGGGGCGGGGGAACAGCAAAGCTACTGAGACACACTCGGGGGCCAGGATGGGCAAAGAAGGCTTGAGTACCGTGTTCTGAGCAGAGTCGAAGGGTTCAAGTTGAATTCTAGCTCTGTCCCAGCTGTGTGACCTCAGCCAAGGCATCGCTCTCTCTGAGCCATGGTCTTATCATTGATAAAACAGATGACATCACCTGCCTGGAAGGAACGAAGGGCTGGAGGGAACGGCAGCCAGAGACCGAATGTGAGAAGGCTCCAAGGTAGGGGACACAGTTCCCTTGGAGTGAGAAGGGGTCCTATCAGCACTCCTTGTATCTGACCGCGTTTGTGTTCAGGGAGGTCTGTGTGTGCGTCCATGTCGTGTGTGTGTGTGTGTGTGTGTGTGACCTGTGTGTGATGCAGGCAGGTCTATGGAGTGAGGGAGGAAAGTCCCAGCACCCTGCCTCAGTCCCAGCTCTCCGACGCTGTGATGACAGGTGGCCACAGGTCCAAGGCCCAGCCATGACCACAGGCATGGGTCGTTCCAGCCAGGGTGGCCCTGGGAGTGACGGTCTGATTTCTTAAAGTGAGGCAAATGGCAAATCCTGTAGGAAAACAACCCAGTCAAGAAGGTTGCAGATGTTCTGAGATAAGATAGCATTTCTTGCGAGGAAAGAAACAGAGGAAGAAGGTTGGTCTGCAACCAGCTTATAGAAAGAAGCACCAGTCAGGCATGAAACTCGTTTCCTTTCTGAAAATCCTGTTGGCTCCCCCCACCATACCCCTTCTCCTACAGTTTCTACATTGTCCACAGGCCTTCCCAAACAACCTCCCGGCTTTTCCCCACGAGGAGCTGGACCACGGTGGAGGGGTGCGGCAGGCTGCCTCTCCCCACCGCCCAGTTCCACACACACCGCCGGGAGGTGACTCTCTGCTCTTGTCTCCACTTCCCAGGTTGGGGGACAGAAGCACTGAGTGGTTCTGGAATGTGCTCGAGGCCAGAGCTGTGGGGGCAAGGGCTCGGAGCTCAGGGAGGGCTGTGGGAATCGGCTGCAAGAGGCCACTGGGGCTTGAAATGCTGGTCAGCCAAAGCAAGGATGCTTCCTTGTTGCTCTAAAAATTCACGATTTGGTAGCATCACAAGAGCCAAATGGGAGTGAATCAAACCCATTAGGAATGGTTGTTTCGATCATCTGGGACCACGGCTGGCTGGCTGGAGCTGGGTTAGGCAGCGGCAGGGGTGAGGCAGTGGGAGCTGGGTGACCTCACACTGATGTGGCCCGACCAGGGCTTGGCGAACCGTTTCTTAAAGGAACAGCGAGTGAGTACTTCAGACTTCGTCACCGCGTCTGAGCTCTGGTCTGGGAGCAGCATCGACCACAGAAAATATGGGAACCGACAGGCCTGTGTTCCAATTAAACTGAACTTACCAAGCAGGCGGATCTGGAGGACCTGGGGGACTGAAGCTCCCTGGGGCCCTGCCGTGGGCCTGCTTGTACTGAGGGACAGCGTCCGTCTGTTTGGTCTGCTGGTCACCCAGCAGACACTAATCTCTCACAGTCCAGGAGGCTGGAAGCCCAGGGTCCAGGTGCCGGCACACTCCGCCGCCTCCACTTGCCGCGTCCTTGGATGGAAGGGGCAAGGGCACTCTGTGAGCACGAATTCCGTTCATAAGCCCCCACCAACACCTCCCAAAGGCCCACCCCCCTCCCTCCAGAGCGTTGGGGTTGGGGTCTCAGCACATGGATTTGGGAGGGAGACACAAAGATTCGGTCTGTGGCACGGAAGAATGCTGTGAGGTGTGGTTAATAATAGAAGAAAGAAACCAGTTACGCAGCAGGACTCATTTGCCCAACAAGCTCACTCCGCACGGAGCCTGTGAGGCGCTGGGGTCCCAGCTGTGACGGGGGCAGGTGAGGCCCGAGGGCCGGACGGGTCTGACCAACCAGGCGTGGCGAGGACTCAGCCCCTGGAGGTGAATCTGATAAGTAACACAAACAGATTTGCCTGGGGAGAAGCCTGGAGGGACACACATCAAAATGTTAGTCCTGGGCGCCTGGGTGGCTCAGTGGGTTGGGCCGCTGCCTTCGGCTCAGGTCATGATCTCAGGGTCCTGGGATCGAGTCCCGCATCGGGCTCTCTGCTCGGCAGGGAGCCTGCTTCCCTCTCTCTCTGCCTGCCTCTCTGTCTACTTGTGATCTCTCTGTGTCAAATAAATAAATAAAATCTTTAAAAAAAAAAAAATGTTAGTCCTGTGTATGCCTGGGTGCTGGAATTTTCCTTCCTACGCATTCCTACACTCCGTCAGTTTTCAACAAGGAACACATGCTCTTACTTGTTGGACGGCAGTAGTAACAAAATATATGAACGGGGGTCTCATTCCCACGTCTGGCTGCGGGACTCCTCCCCCACCTTCCTGGGCCTCCCTTGTCCCTGGGGCCCTTGGGGGCGGGTGGGTGATCGGGGAGGCCTACCACTGGCTGCCTACTCTGAGGACCCAGGGAAGCCACACTGGCCCAGGCCTCACTGACCAGCATTACAGGAAATCTGGCTTTTTCTTCTGCGGTTTCTTTCCATCGGTGTTTTCTGGAGCCAAGGCCCTGGGTCACCTTGGGGAGGCAGCCATATCCTGGGAGTCTGTGGTTGGAGACCCAGTGGGTCTGTTACGATCTCTGGACCTCAGATGCTTGAACTCCCCAACTCTGGATTCTCGTTCCTCTCTCCCCATCCGTGGAAATGTCACCATTACTGACCACAGTGCTGCGAGTGTGACTGCGTCCCTCCCAGGGAGCTGAGTGTCCCGGGCCAGGTGACTGTGCTTTGGGGTGTTCCTCTCCTCATGTGTGACATGGGGCTGTGGTGGGCACCGTGTGACGTACACTGCTGCGGTCAGCACGGAGCGTGTGTGGCAGAGGGCAGGTGACGCAGCTGTCCACGTCTCGCAGGTGTTTGTGTCAACCAATGGCAGAGGTAAGTGGAAGCTGAGCTTGGCAGGGGGGCCAGCCCTCATCAGAAAGCCCCTGAGGCCTAGCCGATCAAGGAGCCAGGCAGCGGATGCCCTGAGTCTTGCTGGAGATGCGAGGCCGGCCTGTGTGGGGCTGGGTGGCCCGCCGCGCCCAGCCCCTTGCCCCTACTGCTACACTCTTACCCGCATGGAAGCTCACAGAGGCCAAGGAGTCTCTCCCAGGGCGCCAGTAGGACAGGAGTCCGGGAGAAGCCGGCTCTTCGAGGCCAGGGTCTGCAAGCCCAAGACTCATGTCCACAAGCCACAGGCATGGCCCGTAGGCTGGACACTCTGACTCCCCAGTTCTAGGAAGCTGAGGCTTGGAAGAATGCGGGGCTAGCAGGCCCAGAGGGGCTCCAGGTGGTCTCAACAGAGTTGCTAGCCCTAACGGCTGGTTTCCACAGCTTCGGAGAAGGAGCAACCCAGAGGCTGGATGAGGCAGAGTATGGGGGCATTGAGTGGCCTCATGTCCCTCTGTATGTCTCATTGCCCCTTGCCTCTTTATCCCGGTGCCTGGGAAGGAAGCCCGTGTGCTGGAGTCCATCCAACTCAGCCAGGCTGCAAGGATTTTCTGTTTCTGCAAACGGGGCTCAGGGTCTTTGCCTTCCAGGTGCGCCTGGGGTGCAGTCCCAGCCTCTCACCACCAGGGGTGCTGTCCACGAACAGGGACTCCCTGGCAGAGGCAGCGGAGGGACCTCTGGCTGCTTGACACCTGCTAGGCAAGGTTGGGGTGGGCACACTTGTCCTGACCCCAGAATCTTCTGTTGCAGTCCTGGAGGCCAAGGCTGAGCCCTGATCAGCCCAAGGGCACAGAACCCGGCACACCAGCGAGCCTGTCTCTGCTGACCTGGTCCTTGGGCCCCCTTCCCCTCAAACCCTTTTCTTGACCCCTCCCGCTATGGCTTTCGGCCAGGACTGTGCCCTATTTTTCCGCAAACGTTGACAAAGAGAATGGGCTGGGAGGTGGCTTCTGCCTCTGTTAACACCTCCTCTTCCACTCAGCTTCCACTGCCCCTTGTCTAGGGCCTGGGGAGAATCTGGGGTCCCCCTCCATGGAGCCCAGGCCTGTTACCCATCTGACTGCTGGGATAGGGGCGGCAGGGCCCCCAGGGCTTCCAGGTCGGATTCTGCACCCAGGACAGGCAGGGCTATCCCCAGCCCGTGGTGGGGAGCCTGGTCCACAGCAGGTGCCTGTGAAATGCTTGTTGATCGAGGTGCTGTTTGACCAAACGGCCCCTCCAGACGGGTTCCAAGAGAATTGGGGAGGCACACGGGGATTTGGTGCTAAACTGGGGGTCCAGTGGCCCCCCTCAAATCGCCAAAGGTCCTGGCGGCTCTGCACGGCCGCTCCCAGGCCCGGGGGCAGCCGAGGGGCCTGAGGCTGCCCAGAGGGCCGGCGGGGCTCATACAGCACGGGAGGGCGCTGCCTGGGCCCGCCCCAAGCCTCTCGGCCCCAGCTTCCGGGGGTGGGGGGGGACTTCGAGCCCTGCCAAAGCCGGGCAGCCCCGAGGGGCAAAGCCGGACCGAGAGCGGGCTCCCGCCTCCCGCAGACCGCTCCCCGCCCGCGCCCCTCCCGGGCCCCGCCCCTCCGGCTCTCCCTCCTCTGCCCGCCCCCTCCCGGGCTTCGCCCCTTCCACCGTCCCCTCCCCTGTCCCCCCTCCCCGGCCACCCTCTGCAGTCCCCGCGTGGCGGCGGCCGCGGGAGCCACGTGTGGCGGCGGCGCGGGGAAGCGCGGCCACGCCTGGCCCGGCCATCGTTCCCGACGCGGCGGCGGTGCGCACCGGGCAGCGGCCCCTCGGCGCGCCCGGCCCGGTCCCCGAGCGCGGCGCCGGGACCATGAGCGCGGGCTCGGAGCGCAGGGCGGCGGCGCCCCGCGGAGTGCTGCCCGCGCCCCGCGCCGCCAAGGTGGAGCTGCGGCTCAGCTGCCGGCACCTGCTGGACCGCGACCCGCTCACCAAGTCCGACCCCAGCGTGGTGCTGCTGCTGCAGTCCCAGAGCCAGTGGGTGCAGGTAGGGGCGGGGCGGGGGGGGGCGCCCCGTTTCCCCCCCCTCAGGTGCTGAGTGGGGACCCAGAGAGGAGGTGGGCAGGGTGCAAGGCAGGGTCAGGGCTTGGGTTCCGAGGTCTAGGTACCGGTGTCCAGGAGTTGGGGGTGCTGGACTGGAGGCCATGGAGAGGAGCACTGGGTAGAGAGAGGGAGCAGCAACCCCGGGGGCAGGGACAGGCCCCCAGGTGGGGGTTAGGTGCTGGACTGAGGCTCCCAGGCTTGAGGTGCTGGCAGGGGGCTTGACCAAGGCAGGCAGAAGGGAGTGGGGGGTACCGGAGAGCGTGGTGCACCCAATGGGGAATGCAGGGCTGACCTGGGCTCACGGGTCCCCTGTGGCCTGGGGGGGCAACCAGGAGGGCCACTGCTCTGCCGGGTCCTCACCCACCAGGCTGAGGCACCCACACCTCCGATCCCCGAGTGGGAGCGGGGAGGACCAGGCAGGGCTGCTGGGTGAGGGGGGAGCGGCTGACTGAGGCTGGGCACTGGTGAGCTGCAGACTTGGTCTCTCACCCGCCCTGGGGGGCTCCCAGCCTGTGCCGGTGCTCTTGTGGGCTCTTGTGGCTGACGCTAGCACAAGCCTCCAGGCTCAGCCCAGCACTTGTGGCCAGGTTGGGACAGCTGGGGTCTGGTTTGTGTGCTCCGAGGACCTGTTTCTCCCTCTGATACTCTCGGGTCCCAGGGGTCGCCGGGGTGCCTGCGCAGCCTGCCACCCCTTGTCACGCCTCAGCCCAGCCCTTCCTGTGGGCCTCGTGGCCACAGCTCAGGATACTCTACGCCATGCCAAGTGCTCTCAGTGAGACGTGTGCCTCACCTGGAAAGGTCGAGAAGTGCCTGGCTTGGGCGGGAGAGGCTGGGGGTTGAAGCTGTGGTGGAACTGAGGCATCCCTCCCCAGGCTGGCTGTGGTGGCCGTGCAGGGGTGCCTAGGTGGGGTGGTGGGGCAGAGGGGGAGGGGGAGACCCCAGTGGTCCCTGCTGGGGACCTGGTGGGGGGGGCGGCTGACAGGCTGGGCCCCTGCCTGTGAGGGGCTCAGAGTCCTGGAGGCTCCATGGGCGGCCGCCCCAGACCCGCTCTGCTCCCCCACGTGCTGTGACCTTGCACTGTTCCTTGCCTTCTCCTGACCGGCAGCCTCCTGGGACTGAACCCTAAAGGTCATCAAACTAGGAAGGGAAGGGCCACCTCAGCCCAGTGTGCTTGTGGTGATGGGGACATTGGGAGGCTCTGTGAGGGGGGCTTGCTTTGTCTGAGCCCGAGTGCTGATGTCCCTGGTGGGGAGGTGGCCCACCCAGACCCTCCGTCTGATGGTGTGGGAGTTTGCGGACCCTGGAGGATGGCAAATCTACCTCCCCTCCTGGATTGTGCTTTAGGGGGCAGGGGGGCCTCAGGTGGAGGAGAGAGCTGAACCCAGGGGGATGTGTACACCTGCCCCAGTCTCCCAGTCTGCCTAGCTGGGGAGAGAGCTCCACTTAGGGTTCGCCCGGCCCAGGATTCTGAGCCAACTGTGTTCCTCACTTGCACTGCTTTTGCACAGGACGCTTCCCCTCTCTGAGCCTCAGTTTCCCCAACTGTGACAGGGATAGAGTGGGCTGTGGTGGGCCTGACATGAGCAGAGGCAAAGAAGCCGCAGCCTAGGTCTCACGAGGGCTGAGGGCATTTCTTTCAGGGTGGGGGTGCCCGGGGCTCCCGACAACCCCGCAGCAGCTGAAATCCTGAGGATTGGAGTGTGGGTTGGTGGGGAGGGGGGTCTCCCCAGGGCATGGCCTGCATGCGAATTCGCCAGAAGCACATGAGGGCAGGTGGGCCCGAGCTGGGTGCCCAGGGCCCGGGGAGTGCATGGGGGGAGCACAGCTCTCCTGAGGGGTCTGCTCAGCCGGGGCTGTCTGCAGGTGGACAGAACGGAGGTGGTCAGAAGCAGCCTGCACCCCGTGTTCTCCAAGGTCTTCACGCTCGACTACTACTTCGAGGAGGTCCAGAAGCTACGCTTCGAGGTCTATGACACCCACGGACCCTGCAGCCTTGGCTGTCAGGATGATGACTTCCTGGGGGGCATGGAGTGCACCTTGGGGCAGGTGAGCACCTGTCCCCTCAGGAGGAGAGGCCCGGGTGGGGGGAGGCATACCCGGGCCAGCGCTGAGGGCTGGGGGACGGCCTAACCGAGAGCCGACCATGGTACCTCAGAGCTCCCTCTGGGACGAGCGTCCGCTCTGCCTGTCTCCAGAGTGCTTGCTCTTAAAAATCCCTTATTAGTGAGTTTTAAAATTATGTAATTTTGAACTGGGTAGAGCAGTCCTGTAATTCAACCTTTGGAAAGGCGTGGTATGGAACACCTGCCTCTTGCCCGTCCCCGGGTTCTGTGCTCTCACGCAAGGAAATGAGTGTACTTTTTCTCTGTGTGTGTGTGTTTTAACAACACAAACTACATACTGTTCTGCACTTGCTTTTTTCACTTTCGTGACCTGAGTCAGCCCTTCCACGTTGCCGCGTGAAAGCACCCTTGTCTCTCCCTGCGGCAGATGGACCAGCCCGTCGAGGGCTGCTGTCCCCAGAGGGACAGAGGTACGCCATTTGCGGCCCTGGGATGATGTCCTGTCCCATAGCTCTTCCCTTAGCAGCGCAGGAGGGCGCTGGCCGTCCAGCTATGTGCCGGGCTCGTCCAGCCACCTCCCTCCCCCTCGGCTCATGAGGGATGGTGCTTCCCTTCCAGTGTGACTGACGTGCAGTCATGCGTGCAGAGCTCATGGTGGGTGCCGACCAGTTTAGGTACCTGTGTGCATGACCATCTCCCAGCTCCCACGGGAGATGTCTTCAACCCCCCAACCCCCCTCTTCTCTAGCCAACTCATGCAAGCTTGGCCTGTTCTAGAACTTCCTGTTCACGAAGCACACGGCGTGTTCCCATTTGTGTCCGGTTTCTCTTACCCAACATGATGTCTGCGTGACTCATCCCCATTGCTGTCTGGTTAGGAGCTGGTCCCCCATTTTACAGATGACAGCACTGAGATTAAGGACGGGCACGGCGGCAGAGCAGGACTCCCCCGCTGGTGGCTTCCCACCTGCCCTTCTTGAGCGTGGGAGAGGATAGCACACACCCCAGACACAGGCGTGACACACATGTGTTGCCATGTGTGCACAGACATACATGCACGCACGGGCACAGGTCCACGGACGAGGGTACAGAGCATGCTTGGACACGCACAAAGCAGGTATGAGCACACGCGTGTCTAGGTAGACAGGGGAACTTTAGACGATGAGAAGTTCCTTGGAGCCGGCCACCCGCAGACTCACGGGGCCGGCTGCCATCAGGGCTCAAGGTATGCCCCCGCCCCCCCCCGTAAATCCAGGACCTGGAGCAAGTTGCTGAGCTCTGCCTGAAACTCCCAGCATTGGCCACCTTGGGGTGGTTGGGGACAGAGAAGAAAGCACTGATGGACCTTAACGGGTTCACAAACCAGCCATCCCACTTTTCCTCATAGGTTAGACCCAGAAGTGGAGCCTACCAGTGGGAGAGCCCGGGGAGGCTCGGGTCGTGGCCTCCCTCCGCCTCCCACCCCTTAGCCTGTGTGGGCTGCCGCAGGTGCAGGGAAGGGTCCCATATGCTCGTGCTCGGGAGCTGGGAGCTGGCAGCCCCACGAGCGTGTGAGGGTTGGGAATATCCTGTCTGCTGTGCGGACTCAGCTCCGCCGCAGTCACCGCAGCTCCAGCCCGCCTCCCGCTCCCAGAGCCCGCAGACCTGGGGCTGGGTGAGTTCCGATGAGGCAGCGTCCGGTCACCACAGTGACAGGTCTTCCCAGGCCTGCGGTGGGTGGAGTCCCAAGTTGGGAGCCTTTGGCGGCTGTGAGGGGCTGTCCTCACCGACCGACCCTTTCTGCAGACCAGGGCGCCCACCCCCCTGAGCGCCAGACACAGCTTCCTGGGGTCAACTCACCGGCCCCAGCTAGGGCTCTGTGGGTCCGAATGAGGGCCCGGCGAGGAGGAGGGGGAGGCCCGGGTGGGCAGGCGTGGGGACGGGCCCACAGGGAGGGTGAGCCCCACGGATGTCCAGGGAGCAGCACTGTTTGTACGAACTCCGGGGGTGGTGGGGAGCTTGTTTGGTGTCTCGGTTCTCGCTCTCGAGCCCTCCGCCAGCTTCCGGGCAGCCAGGGAGCCCAGGGCAGGCCCGGGAACCCCCTTGGCCTCATGGTGCTCAGGGGCTTGAAGCACCTCCTGCCTGGGGACCAGCAGGGGCCACAGAGGAACCGGGCATGTGTCTGGTCTGGGGTGCGGGAGCTGCTTCTGCCTCGTCCTCCCCCAGTGCATGGGCGATGGGCGGGCTCCAGAAGCCGTGGACCAGAGGGCCCCCAACTGAGCCAGGGGTCACAGCCACACAGAGGGACGTCCATCAGGTGGCCAAGTGTCTCCAGAGAGGGCCCGGGGCTGTGGGGCCCTGGGGCTCAGGTTTGGCTGAGCCGGGCTGCCCAGGGCGACTGAGGGCAGGGTCAGGGTCCCCAGGGGGCAGGAGCTGACCACTCCCTGACTGTTCTGACTTCCAGATTGTGGCCCAGAAAAAGATGACCCGTGCACTGCTGCTCAAGTTTGGCCGGAACGCTGGCAAGTCCACCATCACGGTGAGGCTGCCTGCCTTCCCACCCGGCCCCCCAGCCCCCCGCCCACCCCCTCCTTCCTTCTCCTGGCTCGGAGAGGCCCATCCTGGAAGAGGGAGGGGCAAGGCCCCAGGCTGCCTTCGGGGGTCCCGGAGCTCGATGCTGTGGCTTCCCTTCCCAGGTGATCGCTGAGGATATCTCCGGGAACAACGGCTACGTGGAGCTCTCCTTCAGGGCCCGGAAGCTGGACGACAAGGTGCGTGGTGGGTGCCCGTGGCTGGGGGGGTTTGGCCGGGATGACCCTCCCCCTTCAGAGCCTCTCCAGACAGATCAGCCTCAGGGAAACAAGCTTTGCCTGGAGTGAGAGGGGCCTGGAGCTGGGGAGGGCCACCCCAGGCAGGCTGCTCCTATCCCTGCTGTCCCAGTCACTGGCTCATAGCTGAGTTCTTCCTGAGGGCTGGGTCCCTTCCTGAAATCTCTGTTCAACGATGGGGACATGTGCTCGGGGAGGCTGCCATCCAGATAGTGGAGGGATGGCCTCTGAGCCTGGCTCTGTCGACTCTCCCATGGGGTGGGAGCACACGGGCCAGGGGTCTGACCTGCTGGAAGGTGTCTCCTGCTGCCTCCGCTGGCCTGGGAGATTGGAGCCTGGGGAGGAGGAGCAGGGACAGCAGCTGAGGGAGTTTAGCTTGGCCGGAGAGAGGGTGGGCCTAGGACTGAGAGTTCCAGGAAGGGTACTGGGGAGCCAGTGAAGGCTCGAGAGGGGAGGGCAAGGCCTCAGTTCCCTCCGAGAGGCTCCTGCCCTCATTTCATAGCATAGGAGGTGGAGGCTCCGTGGGGGTGGAGAGCACGGCGGGGAAGCGGCAGAGCCGGGCCAAGGCCGCTCCCGCTCCGCGCAACGAGCATGGCCGCCGCTTCTCCAGGACCTCTTCAGCAAGTCAGACCCCTTCCTGGAGCTTTATCGGGTCAATGACGATCGGAGTGAGCAGCTGGTGTACAGGACGGAGGTGAGGGCTCCCTGACGTACCCTGCAGTGCTCTGGGACAGGAACAGTCCCTCCAGTCCCTCCCCCGTGTCCTCCCAGCGCCCACCTCCCTCCCAGCAGGGAGCCCAGACCAGGCCGGGTGCCTGTCGCTGGAGCCCCCAGCTGTGTTTCGTTGTCCCTGCTCGCAGGTGAGGTTAGAGCAGTGACACAGTTTCCTCTTGAGATAAATTAATCGGTTTAAGGAAAAAAAAAAAAGAGGCTATTTAAAGAACAGGGTTCCAGGTGGCCCAGGGATGTGGGGACGCTCTGGAGGTGGTTCCGGGAGCAGCACCGGCCAGCCTGCCCTGCGCCCGCCCCCAGGTGGTGAAGAACAACCTCAGTCCCGTGTGGGAGCCCTTCAAGGTGTCCCTGTGCAACCTCTGCAGCTGCGAGGAGACGCGGCCTCTGAAGGTGGGGCCGGCGGGCCGCCAGGCAGGTGGGGGTGGGGGTGGGGGAGGCCTGCTGCAGGGGCCCAGGCGGGCAGGCGGGCTGAGGGGGCCTGGGCTCCCCAGTGCCTCGTCTGGGATCATGACTCCCGAGGAAAGCACGATTTCATTGGGGAATTCTCCACCACCTTTGAGGAGATGCAGAAAGCTTTCCAGGAGGACCAGGTGAGCTGGGCACCGTCCTCCCCCCTGCCTGAGAACAGGGAGGAAACTGGGTAAAATCGCCAGTTGGCAAAAGGTTCTCGGGGAGGAGCCACGTGGGCAGGCAGAGCGCTGGCCCTGAGAAGACTGACCACCATGCCGGCCAGGTGGCCAGACGGGGACATCAGTCACCTCGTCACTCCTGGAAAAATGCTGTTCAGGGCTGGGGTTTTGAGGCCCCCTGTCCCCTTGTGGTGGGTGTTGGGTACTGGTGCTCTGGGGGGGTGTCTCTGCCTATCCCTGTCCCCCAGGCCCAGTGGGACTGTGTGAACGCCAAGTACAAGCAGAAGAAGCGTCATTACAAGAACTCTGGGGTGGTGATCTTGGCAGACCTGAAGGTGAGCTGCGGCCCCCACTCACCCTCAGTGGGTCAGGGACCCACACCTACCTAAACTCTGCAGAGAGCCAACAGTCAGGGGGCACGCTTTCCCTGGGAGTCCCCCTTATCAGATGGACCCTCAAAGGCCCCCAACCCCAGAGGCCCAGGGTCTCCAGTCCTTGGGGGAGGGATGGAGGGCAGGAGGAGTCCGAGAAGGGAAGTTGCGGGGATGCTGGGGGTCAGGCCACCCCAGGCAGCTACCCTGGGCCCCAGGCAGCTACGCTGGAAGGTGCATCCCTGGGGCTTCAGGCTCCGTGTCTGGGCGTGGGGTGCCCTGGGTGGGCCCTGCCGACGCCCCTGCCTGGAAGTTCTACAGGGTTCACTCGTTCCTGGACTACATCATGGGCGGCTGTCAGATCCACTTCACGGTGCGTGCCCGGGACCCCCACTCCCCACCCCACCACGCAGAGCCTGGGTGCCCTCCCCACGCGGACAGACGGGGGCCCCTGTGCATATGTGGGCGGACTAAGGCCCTTCTGCAAGGTCCGGAGGGCTCACACACCCCTGCCTGGGCTCTGGGCACAGAGGTTCCCCCCAGGAGGGGCTGGAGCACGACTCAGCCCCAGCAGAAGCAGTGACATGAAGACATGTGAGAAGGGAGCAGAATGACACTTGTTCCCGCCAGTGACAATGCCACAGGCCACAAGACCAAGCTGCGGTGGCCTGGCCTGGAGAGCCTTTGTGTCACCTCCTTGATCCTTTGTGGATGTGTGGGTTCATGTCGCTGGCGAGCAGCAGCCAGAGGGGCCTAAGGGAAGTGTCCCAGCAGGGGCAGGGGCAGGGGTGACACATGGGGACCCCAGCCCAGGCAGGGCGGCCGCAGAGACAGGGTGGGCCTGGTCTTGGCCTTGGGTCCCCTGCCACCGCCCCTGCCCTAGGGTCGTGGGTCCATGGGACCTGTGCTGTGGGCTCAGGGATGGTGTCCCCTGGGGGTGGGGGCTGGTTTCCTCCTGAGGGTCCAAGCGCCATCCCGGTGTGCTGGTCAGCACAGGTCGCCCTCTGTCCTCCACACCGTCACAGAGCCGGGCCCTCGTTGGCACTCCCCGCCAGCAGTTCCCCACAGCTCTCAGCCCTTACCTGTCAATGGGGATTCTGGACGCCCGTGGAGCCCGGGGGGAGGGGCCTCAGCTCACGAGCCAGGGTCTCTGCAGGTGGCCATCGACTTCACGGCCTCCAACGGGGACCCCCGCAACAGCTGCTCTCTGCACTACCTCAGCCCCTTCCAGCCGAATGAGTACCTGCAGGCTCTGGCGGCCGTGGGGGAGGTCTGCCAGGACTACGACAGGTGCGGACCCCCCGGCCCCCCCGGCCTCCCCGGCCTCCCCGGCCTCTCTTCCTCCAGCTCAGTCTTGGGCCCGGGGAGCAGGCATCATGGCTGTATCCACCGGCCCAAGGACGGCTGGCAGGGTCCGGGCCGCGGTGGGCAGGGCTTGCTGCACAGGCCTGCCCGGGTGTCCCCGCGTGGCTGATCCCCACGGGCAGTCCGGCCCCTGAGGTGGAGGAGGGTCAGAGTCCCCCATATACTGAGGTGGGGCTGGCCTTTCTTCACGTGGTCCCCCTCACCCTTCACACAAACATGGAGGGTGGCCCACTTGACAGACCAGTAAACTGAAGCCAAGGAGGGGTAGACCCCTCTGTAAGGGGGTGGGCGGCAGAGAGCTGAGGTCCCAAAGACAGGAGGCCAGGGCTTCCCAGGGTCAGGCTGTGGCCCCAGGGTTGGAGTCGGCTCTGTTCCTACCTGGAGGCCTGTGTCCTCCTCATGGCCCCGTGCCTCTGTGTCCCCGGTGTGGTTCAGAGCAGGGCCGGGCACCCAGGGAAGTGGTGGAATGGAGCCTGGGTGTCCCGGCTCTGGTGGGTGTCGTCCCAAAGCGCACCACCCCCAGGGAAACCGTGGACCCTGTGTGATGCGGCCGCCTCTCTTCCAGCGACAAGAGGTTTTCTGCTTTGGGCTTTGGAGCCCGAATTCCTCCCAAGTATGAGGTAGGAGGGCCTGGGGCCTGGGACCCCACCCCCCTGCCCCTGCTGGGGCCTCCTGGGCCATGCTGCTTGTCCCCAGCAGAGGCTGTCCTGGGTCCTCCCACTACTGGGAACCCAGCGACCCTGAGCTTCCAGCCAGAGGGACTGACCTTGGTCACCTAGCACCAGTGACCTCTGGAGATCTCAAGAAAACTCTGTGTCTGTGTCAGGAGAGGAATGAGTCTGGAATCTCCTAGTGGCGCACAGCGGAAGAACATGGTGGCGGGAGGGTTGTGCTGGTGTATGTGACTCAGACGCCCTGGCTGTAGGGCTGAGGGGCTAGCTGCCTGCCCTCTCTCCCGGGTGCCTCCCTCCACGAGGCTCTGTCCCCGCGGGGGCCCCAGGGGCTGCAAATCTACCTCTCCCAGGAGGTGGGGGGGTTCCTGGACGGGTGGCCAAGCTGACTGCCTCTGCGCTCACCCAGGTGTCCCACGACTTCGCCATCAACTTCAACCCTGAGGACGATGAGTGTGAAGGTAAGGCCTGAGGCAGGCCGGGGGTGGGGGTGCCCCCGGGCCAGGCTCACCCTCCTTCCCCCGCAGGAATCCAGGGTGTGGTGGAGGCCTACCAGAACTGCCTGCCCAGGGTCCAGCTCTACGGCCCCACCAACGTGGCCCCCATCATCTCCAAGGTGGCCCGCATGGCCGCGGCAGAGGAGCACAGCGGGGAGGCCTCTGTAGGTACCGGGGCGGGCGGTGCTGCGGGCAGTGGGTGCAGGGGACCGTGGCGCGTGCTGCGGTGTGGGGGGCACGGAGGTCAGGTAGGCGCAGAGCTGGGGGGCACTGAGGGCTGCAGGAGGGCCCCAAAGCCTAGAGGCACAGGTGTCCTCGCCCCCGCGGGGCCACACCCCCGGGGGCAGGTTTGCCCGGAGCCCTCCCTACAGGCAGCTGTCTGCTGCACGAATATCTTTTTTTGTTTCTATATTTTTCACAAATAATATTGTGCTGAAGGTTTCAATCTGCTTTACTTTTTCCTTTCCTTTCCTTTTTTTTATGTTTTGTTTATGAGAGAGCGAGAGAGAGGAGTGAGGGGGAGAGTCCGAGGGCGAAGCAGGGTCCCGGCTGAGCACGGAGCCCAGCTCAGGCCTGGACCTGGGATCACGGCCCGCGAGGGAGGCGGGCGCCTCACCGCCGGAGCCCCAGGCACCTCCCTGCTTTACCTTCACATGTCTGTGGCTGTTTGTGCTCCTGTGTGCCCAACGGCCCGTTGCTTTACTGTCTATTTTGTAAAAGAGCCCACACTTACGGAAGGGAGGTCCGTCTTCACCCGGGCTCACCCGACTCTGACTTGCTTCCCGCTTCCTCCCAAGCCTCTCCTCCTCCCTGCCCTCCTCCCTGACCTGTGTCCTCCTCCCCTCCCCTCACATGTGTGTGTTATTGTGACTTCTGAAGCAGTTGAGAGCTAGCTGCCAACCTCCAACAGCAAGGATTCTGTGCCCAAGCACAGCTGGGCTTCAAGCCCAGGGCGCTGAAGGAGACCCCTTCTGATCTCAACCCCTTCCACGTGTGTCTACATTTGCCTCTGGTCGCTGGATCTGCCTGGTGTCCTGGTCTCCTGACCTGTAGGGCCCCTCAGCTTCGCTCTGTCCTTGGGACTTGCCATGATCCAAACTCCAGCCGCCTGGATGGCCCCTCACCCTGTTGGGGCCACCCCACGGTTTATGCTCTCTCGCCTAGGCACAGCGGCCCCGACACCAGGGCTGCATGCAGCCCCTCGCCCTGTGATTTCCTAAGACTCTGCTGTGTGTTTCCTGCTACCTGTGCGTTCTCTGACACAAACACAGCACAAATATCAATGTCAGGAAATGTAATTTAGAATCCGTGTTTCACTGAATTTATAGAATACGTTCCAATTTCATTCACTTCCCCAGTGATAATCCCATAGCACTGCTATTTCTGGCACAGGACCCAGTCGAGAATCAAGGACAGCAGGCATATCCTAGACACATAATTTCATCTGTAAATGTCCGTATAAACCTCTAGAAGAGAGAAAACAGAGCCACCGTGCCGTGAGCACACCTAAAAGACCACAGCAGTTCCCTCACTGTCGGAACAGTGAACGGGACATCTCTCGGTGTCCGGCTGGCTAATGCACGTCCTGATGGCTGTAGCGGCAGGACTGGGGTGAAATGGCCCCCGTGTGATTGGTGGCTGTGTCCCCGCCTTCCCCTGCTGTCTGGCCGGAGGAGGGGGTGTCCTGCAGGGTCTCCCGGTCTCGAGGCTGCTGCCGGGATGCTTAAGAGCATTCACCACAGTCTTGTCTTCTGGTTCCTGTAAACAGAGGTGGGGGGAGGTCCGCAGGAGGCACTCGTGTCTGCCTCTGTCCTCCCTGGTGCTCTGAGCCCCCGTCGTCACCAGAATGCCCTCCCATAGGGGTTTCTGTGGGCTCTCAGCTTGCTTCCTGCAGAGCAGTGTTGGCACGGTGGGGAGGTGCTTGGGCTGACCTGGGACCTACTTCTCCGTGCTCCCCACCCAACCTTTCCCCTCTCTTTCTGTCCGAAGGAAAGCGGCGTCACTTCATCCCAAGTCACACATGGTTTCCTGGGGCCGGACCACAGTTACCCACTTCCTAGTCCAGGGAGGCCCCGTGCTCACAGCAACGGAGCTCCGTGTTTGAGTAGCAGAGCTGAGGTCACCCCGGACCTAGTCGGAGGGGCAGGAGGAGGGCGTGAGGGCTTTCCCGAGGAGGGCCATGACCACGGGGCTGAGAGCTGGGTCTAGCCAGGGGTCCTCAGACTGCCCTGTGCACGGTCACTCCTCCCATGGGTCTGGGGCTCAGAGGGGGAGATGGGGAGGGGGTGGTTGGGGCCTCTAGGCAAAGGTGACCTCGTTGGGTGCCCATTGGTCTTTCCAATGGTGTCATTGTTGGTGTCACAGTGTTGGCGCCCACTGGGCCAGGGTCTTCTTTTTTCTCCTTTATGTTTTCTCTTGTCCAGGTTTTTTATACTGATTTTTAGTAGTTCTGTTCTTGGGATTTTTAAAAAAGATTTTATTTTTTTATTTATTTGACAAAGACACACCGAGAGAGGGCACACAAGCAGAGGGAGTGGGGGAGGGAGAAGCAGGCTTCCTGCTGAGCAGAGAGCCTGATGCGGGACTTGATCCCAGGACCCTGGGACCATGACCTGACCCGAAGGCAGACGCCTAACGACTGAGCCAACCAGGTGCCATTTTGGGGGATTTTTTGTGTTTGTTTTTTAAAGATTTTATTTTGTAAGTAATCTCTACACCCAATGTGGGGCTTGAACTCACGACCCTGAGATCAGGAGTTGCATGCCTGAACCAGCCAGCTGCCCTGTTTTTTTGTTTTTTCAGGTGTTTTTTGAGAGAGAGAGAGAATGCGGTGGTAGGGGTGAGTGAGGGGCAGAGACTCTCCAGCAGACTCCACGCCCAGCACGGAGCCTGACACAGGGCTCACTCTCACGGCCCTGAGACCATGACCTGAGCGGAAACCAAGAGTCAGACGCTCACCTGACAGAGCCACTCAGCCCCCCCAACCCCTGTTTTTGTTTTTGTTTTTTTTAACAAAGGAAACAGACTTTTATTTGGGACTAGTCCCCATCTGTCTTTGTGCTGACGTGCTGAGCCCCTGGCCAGGCTGGGCGGAGGGCGTCCTTGCTCAGAACTTCCTCAGATCAGGGTGCAGGAGTCGCCGCCTACTGAGAGCCCCCAGGACTCTCCTTCTCAGGCCTCAGACTCGGGTTTGGACCCAGGCTCCATGGGATCGAGGCAGAGGCGGGACAGGCTGGGAGTGGGGGGAAGCATCCAGCCCGGGAAGTGAGCTCACGACGCCCTGTGGTTGTGACGTGTGACACTTCCACAACAGTTCCCGAGACGCGGGCGCCCGAGGCCTGCGGTGGCGACCAGGCAGTCTACGGGAGGGGAGCGGGTTGGGGGACTTGCAGCTGCCTGGGGCGTAGATGCGGCCCTCAAGGGTCCCCAGGCGACCTGGGGGGCCTGAGGAGGGGGCGGGGCCGCCCTGCCCACCCTGTCCCTGTGCCCGCAGCAATACTACATCCTGCTGGTCCTGACCGACGGCGTGGTGACCGACATGGCCGACACGCGGGAAGCCATCGTGCGCGCCTCCCATCTGCCCATGTCCATCATCATCGTGGGGGTGGGCAACGCCGACTTCACAGACATGCAGACCCTGGACGGGGATGACGGCGTCCTGCGCTCCCCGCGGGGCGAGCCGGCTCTCCGCGACATCGTGCAGTTTGTGCCCTTCCGGGAGCTCAAGAGCGTGAGTGCGGGGGCGGGGGGCTGTCCAGGGCCTGCCTGCCCCCGGAGCAGGAAGCGCCTGGAAACCTTCCTATCATGAAAATATTGAACTCACCCATGGGAGGGAGGGCAGCACAGCGGGCTCCCCAGGCACTTTCAGACCCTTTGTGAGATACAGGAGGGAAATTCATGACCTGTGGACACACTCACGGGGTTTTATGGGGGGAGGGGCGCCCACCTCCTTCCTGCCTCAGACTTGCCCTGTGTGCCTGGGTAGGGGGGCAGGGCCACTTGGGTGCAGGTGCCATTCGGGACAGGCCCCCGGGCCGGCAGCGGGGGGGCACTGCAGTCTCGTCTTCTCGGGTCTGGGCCCCCTACCAGGGCTCTCCTGGCCACCAGGAGACTTACTGGTCAGCTGTGGGACAGAGTCCACCTCCCCTAGAGGATGGAGCCCCACCTCCAGAGGATGAGGCTGGGGTGTGATGGGCTGGGGGCTGGAGGGCCCGGAGGGCGCCCAGTTGTAACCCCGCTGTCCCCACTCTGAAGGCGTCCCCGGCGGCGCTGGCCAAGTGCGTGCTAGCCGAGGTGCCCCAGCAGCTGGTGGAGTACTACAGCTACAGGGAGCTGCCTCCCAGAGGCGGCGTCGCCCATGACCGGGAGGCCGGCCCCCCGGAGACCGCCGGGCCGCCGGGAGTGCAGCCAGGCTCTGTCCCCAGCACCCTCAAGGTCCCTTAGCTCCCCGCTACACCCCCACCCCCACCTTCCCAAGCCCTCCTGTGCCCACCCCGGCCCACCCCTATGGTCCTGTGAGCCTGCTGCCTAGACCAGACCCGGGATCCCCAGGGCTGAAGGATGAACAGATCCGGGCCTGGTGATCCCCAAAACAGGCGCTGAAGGTGTGGGGGTGCTGGCGGTGGCCCCCCAAGCCTGGCCCTGCCCCCACCAGGCCGGTGTGGAACCATGTGGGGAAGGGATTCCTGAGGGGCGCTTGGGGATTGGGGGATTTCTGCTTTGCACCTGACCTCCACTGAAGAAGGACACCAGGCTGCCCTCCAGTTGTGGAGGAGACCCCGAGATGCCCCAGACCCCCGACCCACAGCCAAGATTCCTCCCGCTCCCTGCTCGCTCCCACCCCCGCGCCGGGATCTGTGGGGTCTGCGGCTGGGGGCTGAGGCATAATAAAGTGTCATTTCGTCCTCGAGCAGTCTGTGCCTTTGCTGTGGCCTCCCCACCCTTGCAGCAGAGCACTGCACCCCTCTGGAGGGGTGAGGCAGGTGAGTCTGCCCCCTCCCACCCCCACATGGGGACAGTCTCCTAGATCCAGCAAGGAAGGGTTCTCTCAGGAATGCAGGGGTGGCAGGAGGCGGTGCTCCACCCAAGGAAGGGCCAGGGCTGCAGCAACTGCCCCCACACCCTGAGGGGCCACTCCTTGGCCTCCTGTGGTCCACCGCCTGAAATCTGCCTTCCTGACTCAGGGAGGGGAGAGGCTACCAGGCAGGGACTGGGGTGCCTTTAACCAGCAACTCAGCTTTACAGGGACCCACCATGCTACTCGCTGTCTGGAGCACCCCTGCCAAAGCCGCCCAGCCCTGTGGGGGGGTGTGTCCTTTTGAGATTTCCCCAGCAATAGCTTGTCTAGGAAAAACCAGCTGTTCTGACCGTAAATCTAGGCCCTCCCACCTACTCGCTCATCCATCCGTCCATCCACCGATCTATCCAACCACACATCCGTCCATCCAGCCTTCCCTCCCTCCCTCCATCCACCTATTCCCATCCAGTCATCTACCTGTCCACCTGTCCATCTCTCTGTCCGTCCGTCCATCCATGCATTCGTCCATCCACCCACCCACCCACTCTGGAGGCCTATTTTTAGCTCCTGATTCATCTCCTGTTAGGCAAGGATAATGGGCATTACCATGGTAACCTAGCTACTGCTGAAATCTGGAAGAGCCGATGTTGGTCTCTTTGGGGACGGAGAGGACACGAGAGAAACAGCCCCCTCCTTCCACACTGGGAGGCAGCAGTGTTCCAAGATGGGAGGGTGTGTCAGTTGTGTCCTGACCCTGCCACCAAGTCATGCATTTCAGTGGCAGAAGTCCTCAGATCATTCTGGATTCCATTCAGGGGTGAAGCCAAGGGAATTGGTCAATTAAGACCTCGGGGGCAGAAGCCACAAAGAGTCAGCTCAGAAGAATGGGAGGGGTCTGTGCTCAGCCGCTAGGCAGCAGGATTAGGCCCAAGCAGCAGCTCTGGGCTGGGGTGGGGGTGGGGAGGCAAGGGGCCTGATGAGCCCGCAGTGGTGGAAGGGTTCATTTTTGGAGCTGTTGCCTTAGCAAAGATGTAGCCACTCCCAGAACATGCAGGTCCAAGAAGGAGCAGAGGTGTGAGGCCCCCACCTCCGCCTCTACCTCCCCTCTCCACCTCCACCCTCCACCCTCCACCCTCCACCTCCACCCTTTCCTTCTCTCTCTCTCCTCGGGCCAACAGGAAGCAGGGAGCCATCCGGACGCAGCCTATGGCGATGCCCTCCTGGACTGGCGGAAAACAGGAGGTGGTGGGCCTGGGGCCTGGCCGTAGGGCGGGGCTCAGCTGGGCACGTGCAGGTGTGTGGGGGGCTGCTCAGAGAGGTGGGGCAGCACAGGGTCACCAGCTCAGCTGTCATGATATGGTGACTGTTACGAGTCGGAGCCCAACATTGGCCGGGGCCTGAGCTGGCCAGGGAGACTCCGTCCCGAGACTTCTGTTGACATTTGACTTTTTCTCGAGCTGCTGAGTGGGTGGCGTGGGAGCCAGGAACGGCCGGTGACCCCTGTGCCACCACGAGGGCTGGGGCCACCTGGGAATGAGATGACACAAAGGAACTAGGCCAGAGGAATCACCGTAGGAGGGGCCTAGTCCCGAGCCCTGAGCTCAGACTGGCCTGCTGAGGGGCAGCACGTTCCTGCCCCACCCGGATCAGCTGGGGGTCCGTTTCCACCAGTGCCCCCCAGATTCTGGCCCAGACGGATGGCAAATCCTCCCATCGAAGAGAAGAAAAGCAAGGCTCAGAACAGTTAAGTGACTTGCCCAGGGTCACACAGCTGGCCCGGGGCAGAAGCAGGACTCGCCAGCCCCATGCAGTTCCAGTATGTCTTTCACTACAGCACCTTCCACCAGGGATCTGATCTGTCTCTGAGCTCCAGAGCGGCTTCTAGGGAGAGAGCTAGGACAGGGTGGCCGGAAACGCTGCCAGCGTCATGGAGACCCGCAGAGCTTCACTCATGCTTAGAGCGGCCTGGGATGTGGATTTTCTCAGCAGTCAGAGCCAGGAGGTGTGGACAGAGGACCCCAGAGTCACCCTGGGATTGACTCACTTCAGAAATAGTCGCCAGCACACTGTTTGGAGTGGCCCCCTTGTCAGAGGATGGGTTTGGGATTTGCAGACAGCAAATGTGCTCTCAGTGGCCAGCTGCCTAAGCTCTGGCCCAGAGTCAGACTGGACACCTGCCTCCAGCTTCCAGGAACAGCTTCCAGGACAAGTCACGTCCTCATCTGCCATGAGAGCTTTAAGTCAGAGCCCTAATTCCATGGCAGCCTCCTTCTCTTGGAACCTGGGAAGGCTTAGGGTCCTATGTGACCCTCCAACGCTTGGCCCTGAAAATGCTGCTTTGCTGTCTTGCTCACTGGAGACACTGGCTCTTGGGACCCGGTTGCCAGGCTGCAAAGAAGTGGAAGCCGTCCATCCAGCCAAGGCCCCCGCTGGCTGGCCACAGGCGTGTGACGCCACAAGAGGGGTCCCCCAGCCTGGCTGAGACTCTAACTGCATCCTCAGGAGGGGGCCTGAGCCAGATTCCCCTGGCTGATCCTGTCTGGTAGTCCTGACCCACAGAAATGGTATGAATTCATCCAGGTTTGCTGTCTTTCTAAGCCACCAAGTTTTCATAATATCTTTTTTTTTAAGATTCATGTATTTATTGGATAGAGACACAGGGAGAGAAGGATCACAAGCAGGGGGAGAGGAAGAGGTAGAAGCAGGCTTCCTGCAGAAAGGGGATCCCAGGACTGAGCTGAGGGGAGGCGCCCAGGGACGGACACCCCGGGGCCCCTGGTTGCAGTTTGCTCTGCAGCGGCAGAGAACCGACACACTCTCTTCCGAGCGGTCTCCCTGGCGCCGGATGGGCGGTCCCCAGGGCCCGGCCCGAGATGCTGGCTGGGTCAGAAACACCAGTTTTGCAGAGGAGCGTGGCTGCTCCTCGTTCTGAGCGAGGCTTGGCCAGAGCTCGCTCTCCGGAGAGCTTGGCGCCCCCGCCGGCCGGCCGCCTCCCCACGGAGCCCAGGCTGGGCCTCGGAGGCTCGGACTCCGGGTCAGCGCGCCCGCCCCGGGGTCTGCCGCCCCCCTCCCCGGGTCAGAGCCGGCGGTGCGCGCGCGGAGGGCTACCGGGGGCCGCGGAGCCTCGAGGCTGCGCTTCCTTCCGCGGCGGCGCGCAGCTGTGACTGCGGACGCGTCACCGGTGCGGGCGCGGGCGCGGGCGCGGGCGCGGGCGCGGGCGCGGGCGCGGGCGCGGGCGCGGGCGCGGGCGCGG